ATTTTACTTCCATGCTACTTCAAGCTGTCTTTTAAAACTGAAGTTTCAAAGTCCTTTTATGGGTTTAGACTACAAACATGGATCCTGCTATTTTGTTCACAAAGATTTTATCCATCTTCTAGTTTCTCATTAAACAGCTTTCACAATTTAAGTAAATATACAGGAAATGGAAATCTTACCTCTGCAAGCGGATGCCAATGAGCAATTGGTTTCCGAGGATACGAGAGCATTTCATTCCAGTGGTCCCGGCCTAGACTCTCTGCATCGTTGCCTACTTGACACACTCCAATGACCTCATTGTGACCTACACTGTGAAAATGTGCCATAATATTTTTTTCTTAAAATTTTACATTTGGGAACAAATGCCATTTAAATTTTCTATGACAGACAATGATCTAGGATACTGGAAAAATTCAATGGGTGACACTACACAGGTTTGAGCTTTAGTTCTATATTTCTCAATAACCTAGATATGGTAATAACTTACTCTTTTATATCATGACATTAGTTACACATTCTGTGTGTGTGTGTGTTTTGGTTTTCTGTGGGTAAATTGACACTTGAACTTTTATTTTTCCACATTCCAATTTTAACCAACAGAAAAATTCATTAGCATTTGTCAAAGCAAAAAATGACACCTCATACTTATTTGGATTCCATTCCTCCCAAAGCATTGGAAATGTAAAGGCTATTCTGTGAAATGGGATATCTGAACAAATACAACTCCTACTCTAAAGCAATTAGGGTATGTCTACACTACCACCCTAGTTTGAACTAGGGAGGTTAATGTAGGCAACCGGAGTTGCAAATGAAGCCCGGGATTTGAATTTCCCGGGCTTCATTTGCATATTCCCGGGCGCCGCCATTTTAAAATGTCCGCTAGTTTGGACTCCGTGCCCGTGGCTACACACAGCACGAACTAGGTAGTTCAGATTAGGCTTCCTATTCCGAACTACTGTTACGCCTTGTGGAACGAGGTATACCGGTAGTTCGGAATAGGAAGCCTAATCTGAACTACCTAGTCCGTGCTGCGTGTAGCCGCGGGCACGGAGTCCGAACTAGCGGACATTTAAAAATGGCAGCGCCCGGCACTATGCAAATGAAGCCTGGGAAATTCAAATCCCGGGCTTCATTTGCAACTCCGGTTGCCTACATTAACCACCCTAGTTCGAACTAGGGTGGTAGTGTAGACATACCCTTATTTACCAACGGACTATACTGTTGACCACATTTTCAGAGGAAATCCGAGGAATGAATGTGATTTGTGCAAATGGCCATTCAGCACACAGACTTTTCATTTTGATAGGCAATCATTACAATTCTAGGAAATATGTATGCAAATTAGGCATACAAAATTATGGATATAATTCTGTATCTCAAAATCTAAGAAGGAAATGCTGTCTGATGGTATTGGAATTGTAGCCCTATGCTGAGACCTGCACAACAAAATATTTTTAATCCCACAAACTAAGAGAAAAACTATGAGAACTTGTGCCAATTTTTCACAATCTCTTGCCTCATAAAATCTTGCATAGTAGATCTGCATTCAGAAACAGATACAAGTATCTCACCGGTCATAATCCATAACTGCTATTGACAGGTTAATTTGGTCAATGTTTTCCGGAGGGACATCAAAGACTATGGCTTCATTGTAAACAGGATTAAGGGTATTCCTCTTGGTGGAAGTTTTCCTTTTTTTTAGCCGCCTTCCTTCGCACATTAAAGAAACCTTCACGTAGGGATCTGTGTGAATCATGATAAGCAGTTTTGTTGATTGTAAAATAAACACAGATGGAAAGCAAATGGAGTAACCTTAATTTATTCCTATGTCTATATAAATAATCTATTCACCAGTACCTACATTAGAATCTGAGCTCTTTCAGTAATGAAATGCCTGGGAGACACTGGCAGTTAAAAGGTCTTCCTTTTTGAATGAGTGTAATGAACAATTAGATGTTCATTCAGAAAGCTGGATTTTTGTATTCTGTCTAGTCTATGAATGTACAAATGTCCATTAAGACACAATATGGATCTCCATATCTGAAACCGTTTGCGTAACTAACTACACCTATAGCACAAGCAGAACCCCGACTCAGTGAGGGTATGTCTACACTAGCTCGTTAGTTCAAGCTAGATAGGCTAATGAGGGCAACCGGAGTTGCAAATGAAGCCCGGGATTTAAATATCCTGGGCTTCATTTGCATCTTCCCGGGCGCCGCCATTTTAAAATCCCCCTTAGTCCGAACTCCATGCCCGCGGCTCTACGCGGTACTGAGTAGGTAGTTCGAATTAGGATCTCTAATTCGAACTACCGGCACTCCTTGTGGAACTCCTCATGGAATGAGGTGTACTGGTAGTTCGAATTAGAGATCGTAATTCGAACTACCTACTCCGTGCCGCGTATAGCCGCGGGCACGGAGTTCGGACTAAGAGGGATTTTAAAATGGCGGCGCCCGGGAAGATGCAAATGAAGCCCAGGATATTTAAATCCCGGGCTTCATTTGCAATTCCGGTTGCCCTCATTTGCCTACCTAGCTCGAACTAACGAGCTAGTGTAGACATACCCTAAGACAGCACTCATGTTTGATGACATAAAAATACAGGTTCAACCTCTATAGTCTGGACTTCTGTAGTCTGGCAACATCTGTGATCCAGCATCCCTGGGGGTGCCCCTGGGCTGGAGCATGCCTCGGGGAAAAGCCGGGCCCTGTAATCAGCAACTCCTTCTTTGCCCTCCCAGAGCTTCTGGAATGCTGCAAATGGCTCATTTGTAGGACTCAAGCTCAGGGAGGGAGAGGGAGGAGTGGGGATGCGGGATCTTGAGGAAAGAGGCAGGGTAGCTGTGATGCCCAGCAGTGGGGACTGGGAACATAGCGTGGCAGCCATGGGTGTGCTCCCACAGGTTGTGCTCCTGACCTCTAGCCACAAAGCTCCACAGCCACCCTGTCTCTTCCCACAAACAACTCCCATGCAGTCCCGCCACTTGGTCAATGCCAGCTCCTTTGCTGCCAACCAGCATTGACCTACCCTGGTCTGACAGACTCAAACTGTAGTTCTTAGCACTTTAAAAAGTATAAGTTGAACCTCTTGAGTTCAGCAAAGTCCATAGTCTGGCATGCTTTTAGTTAGTCAGATGTTTAGTTTGTGTGTGGCCAAGTTTCCCATGGTCCCATAAAGTTAGTTACAGCCACCAGTCCTGGCTCACAGTGATCTGTTGGCAGAGGGATGCAGATTAGGCAGGTGGACATTGCAAATGAAGTGGGGGTTTAAATATCCCGCACTTAATTTGCATAAAAATGGCCACCGTTTTTGCCAACTCAGCACTTTGTCAGCAAAAAGCAGCAGTCTAGAGGGAGATGTGTTGAGAAAGAAAGCCATTTTTGACAGATCCCTTATGCCTCCTGCAAAGGAGGGCAGAGGGATGCAGTCTAGACATACCCCTAGGCTACATCTACACTGGCCCCTTTTCCGAAAGGGGCATGTTAATTTTACAGGTTGTAATAGGGAAATCCGCGGGGGATTTAAATATCCCCCGCGGCATTTAAATAAAAATGTCCGCCGCTTTTTTCCAGCTTTTCTAAAAGCCGGAAAAGAGCGTCTACACTGGCCCCGATCCTCCGGAAAAAAAGACCTTTTCCGGAGGATCTTATTCCTACTTTGAAGGAATATTCCTACTTTGAATAGGAATCTAATTCTTTAAAAGTAGGAATAAGATTCCTATTTTAAATAGGAATCTTATTCCTTAAAAGTAGGAATAAGATCCTCCAGAAAAGGGCTTTTTTTCCGGAGGATCGGGGCCAGTGTAGACGCTCTTTTCCAGCTTTTCTAAAAGCCGGAAAAAAGCGGCGGACATTTTTATTTAAATGCCGCGGGGGATATTTAAATCCCCCGCGGATTTCCCTATTACGACCTGTAAAATTAACATGCCCCTTTCGGAAAAGGGGCCAGTGTAGACGAGCCCCTAGTGAATTCATCACTGGAGCCAACAACATAAGCTATCAAATCAAAAGGTCATTTTACTGCACATCCAGTAATTTGATCTATGCCATCGAATGCCAGCAATGCCTCACTGCTATATATACTGGACAAACTGGACAGTCTCTGCGAGAAAGAATCAATGGACACAAATCAGATATACTTAAAGGAAGCATACAGAAACCTTCAATCTTCCTAATCATTGTTTAAAAGATTTTCAAGTAGCTGTCTTGTCACAAACCAGTTCTACTAGCCAGATACACAGAGAAACATTGGAATTAGAATTCATCCACAAATTCAATTCACATGCTAATGGACTCAATCGTGATGAAAGTTGGTTGGGGCACGTTGAAGGTGCAAACAGTTATTTGTATAGACTCCTATGTCAGGAAGGATACTATCAATTGACTTTGATTCTTATCTGCTTCGTTTTAACTACCTAATCTTCAGATACTTACTGATTCCCTCTAGCTCCCTGTCTCCCATCCTCCTCTTTTTTCCCTCTCCCCTCCCCTTCCTCTCGCCTATTTATTTTCGGTCTGTACATCCTAAACTCATAACTCAGGTCGTCTGAAGAAGTGGGCTGTGCCAATGAATGCTCATGATATCACCTACATGTTTTGTTAGTCTATAAAGTGCTACTAGACCATTTGTTGTTTTGTTCTCTTTGGGTATGTCTACACTGCAGCATTTTTCCAGAATAACGACCATTTTTCCAGAAAAACAATACTTGCGTCCACACTGCTATTGCATTGTTTCTACAGAAAGTTGAAAGAACAGGGGTTTTTACGATGGCAGTAAACCTCTTTCTGTGAGGAAGGCTTTTTCTGAAAAAAGTGTGTATGGACACAGAAGAGGGAGTTCTTTCAAAAAAAGAGGCCTCCAGGAAATAACACAGGTGCCCTGGTGGCCACTCCATCCAAACTCATCACAACTCCATAGCTCCTGTCTCCTGCCAGCTCTTAAAGTACCAGGAACCCAGGACAAGATTTGTGGCAGGAAGCTGGCCCTGGGAGTTGCACCTCAGCATGTGGCTCTGACTGCCACACTGCTGCTGAGCTATGACCCAGACACAAGCCCCCCGAAACCCCTCTGGCCCTCACAGGGCTCCCAGGACCCAGCAAGGGGCCAGAAGAGGAGTACGCCATCATGGTATGGGGCAGAGTTCCTGGCCCTCCTGGAGGTGTGGGGTGAGGAGGAGACCCTCCAGGATCTCTGCTCCCGACAGCACAATGTGGATATTTACAGCTGGATGGCCGAGGCTTTGTCCATGAGGGGCCATCACCCCAGCAACCTCAAACAGGTGTGGAACAAACTAAAAGAGCTCTGCCAGGGCTCCACCAGGGCCAGGGAGCACAGCTCTCGTTCCGGGGCAGGACCCCACCTCTGCCCCTACTACACAGAACTCCACGGCACCCTAGGGGGTGGTTCCCCACCCCTCGTCATCAACTCTGGGCTGGAGACACCCATCATCACCTGCCCAGGGCTCCCAGGTCAGGAGGAGGAGGAGGACAATAAGCAGTGGAGGAAAAGGAGACAGCCAGTACTGTCACCCTCAGCCAGGAGCCGGTACCCCCAGGGCCTGGATGTCTTGCAGGCATCCTCCGAGGGCGGGGTAGGTGCTCTTAGCTTGTTATACACACAAGGTAGGGGAGGCAGGTGCAGAGGGGATGGAGTGTGATCGTCACTTGGCCTTCTTCACCTGGGCATCGTGCTGCAATCCATGCATGTGGAAGCACGTGCAGCGCCAGTTTGCACAATGAGGCCCAGGAGGCCACCATGGAGCACCCCCAGGCTCCTACTCACGGGCTCTGGGGAGGCCACAGACATGTATGACCCCCTGGGGATGCCCTCCCACCACTAGCCACTGCTGGAAGCAGTCTGGGGACAAGGGCATACATACAGCTGCGCACTCACTGAGGCACACGGGCATGCCTGCATATGCGACGTGCCACCCACTCCCACAGACAGTGCTGCCAGGCACAGGTGTGTGTGCGACCCCCATGTCAGGCCAGGCTGCTCCAGTCCTCTCTCCTATCCATGGGATCCCAGTGTGGATGGACACTTCCCTTGCCTGCTTGTCTGTGGGCCGGGGTAGAAAGCAAGGTCCCCTGGGCACCTCTGGGCCTCTGTGAGGCAGGGCCTACTATGCAGGCCACACATGGTCTTGCTTCTGGGATATTACCATCCTGTGGCCCGAGGACTGTTGCTCACAGCTCAGAGGAGGGCATGGCCTCAGGAACAGTGTCTGCATGGATGACTGACCATGTCTCCCTCTTTATTCTCCACAACCAAACCAGCCATCACTGAGGGACAATCACCACCAGCCGAGGGATCACCACCAGCTGAGGCAGCCGCCTGACTCCGGCGGAGCCACGAGCACTGGAGGATCTCAGAGGACCTAATGAGGGAGCACGTGGCCATCCTCTGGGATGCTCAATGGTGGACCCAAATGAGGGCTGAGCTGGTGCAGCAGGGCCAAAATATGTATGACACGATCCATGAGATGATGGCACACCCAGCTCTTGTCCTGCCCTCCCTGCCCTCTCAGACCCTCTGCAATGCCTATGCTCCCTCCCTTTCCCCCTGCCATGCCTGACTCCACTCCAGCCCCCCTCCTTCCTCACTCTCAGACCCCACCCGCCCCCGAAGTTGCCAAGATCCCCGGACCCGAGGCGGCACTTCTCGCCACA